CTCAGTGATAACTACGAAGTCAGATTTGCCTCTTGGCATGGGGGCTTCCAATCATCTTGCTTAGGGCTTCAACTTTGGGTATTTGTGTGTAGATATTTGAGACCACATGCTCTGCCATTGACTCCTTTCTTAGATTCTGTCTCCCGTAAAATTCTAGATTACTTAATTGTTTTTATTTGATTGTAGTTTTTCTCTATGGTGGCCAACTTGACTATGCACTCATAGGTAGTTTTTCTGATCTCCTTGCCAACCCCTATCCCTTCTAATTTAAAGCCCCTTTGATGAAATTTGCAAATAAATTCTTAGCAGGCTCCCATTACTCTCCAGGCACTTATCAGTCCTAAATTTTAAAGATCATGATAGCAGCTTAGCAATCATATCTAGCTCTTTTAGTACTTTGGAAATAGTTAATCAAGCCCTGGTGAGCTGGCTATATCAAAGTCAAGATCCTTCTATCCTCCTATCTAATCCAGGATGCTGGATTGCCCTGTGAAATGGTGCCCATGTCAACCTGACACTAGATTGTTGTGGGAATTAAAATTGCCCAACCTACAATAAAAGAGAGTAAGGCAGAGCTCTGAGCCAATGACACTTTATTAAAAGGTCCATGGATCCCCTCTAATGAAGTGGACCTCAGATCTTCCTCATGATCTGAGATGCCCCCTTCTTCCAGAGCCTTATTTTTATAAGTCTTGATACCAGATTTGATACCTGAACACTCTAAAGGGGCTACGCAAAATATAGACTCCCATTGGTTGATAGACCTTGCTTTGTAGGCCAAAAAATGATGCATCAGCTAGAAATGGTATGGGGGGGTGGGAGGGGGCAGGTCTCAGGTTGAGTAAAACATGGGGCATCTCCACTGACTAAGTGGTCATAAGACGGTCACCTGTTCATGTTGGACAAGAGACAGTGGTGCAGAGGTACAAAATAAATAGGGAGTTTCCATGTAATTGAGTCACTTCTGCCACACTAGGCTTGGTCACCATCACAAGGAAAAACAAGGGCAGAGGGCCTCTAATTAGCTTCCTATGATTAAGCAAGTGAAATACAATATGCAGTTCATAGCTCTGGGGCCCAATATACAGAATTTATAATCACTACTTCTATGGAATCATAGCAAAATGATTAATACTGATTGTAACAGAGTCAAAGTCCAAATGAATTATTTCTCACATTGTGATGTCAAAAGTCTCAACCTCATCTGACAACCCCATTCATCACCCATTGGTTATTGTTGCTGTTCCTTCAGCTTTCAGCAAATTTCCTCAGCAATGCCTATTCATTTTTTTCTGAAGTTTTGCAAGCAGAGACTAAGATTTGCCTGGTGTGCATACCTTTCCAAGGGTTCACAAGAAGCCTTTTTATCCCACATGATGAATCAGCCATTCCTTCTCTTGTAACTGCTACTGGTCCCTTATACCTGCTCTTCTGCTCTCTCCATTGACTCCCAAGGCCCTCTCCCATGTTTCAAAGAATCTCAGTTGGAGAGATCAGGCAAATGGTCCGACCTGCCCTTCCTGTTTCCACTATACCCTTGGGTTGCTTTCCGTCCTGCTCAGATATTTGTTTCACCTTCTCTCTCATCTATCAGCATAAAGCCTTGCAACATCAAGTGAAGACATCCTCCTAAATAACTTTCTTGTTTTCAGTATGAGAAAGACTTCATATTGTGAGGGCATATTGCAAAGCCCCTCAAATGTTCTGAGGTGACTGTATCTGCATATGAAAGGACCAGGAATGTGGCTGAACAGATGGAGAAGACCATGATCTTGCTCTCTGGGCTTGGCATGGTCTCTCTCTACCTTTCTGTACTTTTTTTAAAAAATCACTCATCCATATAAGGGGACAGAAGTGAGTTAGGGTTTGAAAACTGGGTAGCCCTGAACCCCAGCACTATTTGGTAGTTTGGAGGCAAATGACCATTACCTGGTTTATAGTCTAGACTTAAAAGATAAAATTTGGTACATATATGGAATGCCCACAATAAGCCCAAGTGAGGCCTCTTACAGAGGGGCCCTGGATCCTGATCCAAAGAAATTACTATACTGAGGTAATTAGGAAGACTCTTCCCTTTGTTCTAGCCAGCTGGGTTTCTAGGGCTGAGAATCTACACCTGGTGAGATGAGAAGTTCCAGTAGCCTAGACACTGAGGAACTTGGACAAAAGGACCTGGGGTGATGGGGGAGGGGAAGGCTTTTTAAAAATAATATTTAGTGGTGGTGGAGGAGGTGAGGAAACCTGTGGACTTTCAGGTCAACGGCAGCACCCTCTCTTCCATTGAGGATAAGAACTACAAGGATTTCTGTTGAGCCGGGGCTTAGGGCCAAACAACAGTTGGTTAGTGGCATGATATCAGCATATAACTTCCAACAGAGCAGAGCATCAAGTCCACCAGGTCAAAATATTTTTCTGTTCCATCCCTTCCCAAATATTTCCTTTCTCACTACTGCTAGTGCCTTCCTTCTGTGATTACCTCCAGTTTATAGTGTGTGTGTGTGTGTGTGTGTGTGTGTGTGTGTGTGTGTGTGTGGAGAGAAGGGGGGAAGAAAGAGACAGAGACAGAGAGAGAAAGAGACAGAGAAATAAAGAGATAGAGGGACATAGATACAAGGGGGGGAGAGAAAGAGAGAGAGAGAGAGAGAGAGAGAGAGAGAGAGAGAGAGAGAGAGAGAGAGAGAGAGAGGGAGAGAGAGAGAGAGAGAGAGAGAGAGAGAGAGAGAGAGAGAGAGAGAGGAAGAGATAAAGAGAGAGGGGAAGAAAGAGACAGAGAGAGAGAAACAGAGAAAGATAGAGGGACAAAGATACAGAGGAGGGAAGAGAGAAAGACAGAGACAGAGACACAGAGAGACAGAGATAGAGACAGAAACTGAGAGAGAGGAAGAAAGAGAGAAGGGGGGAGAGAGAGTGACAGAGACAGAGAGACAGAAACAGAGAATGAGAGACAGACAGACAGACAGACAGACAGACTCTGGCATGTACATAGATATTGATATGTCATCTCCCCCCACTGAATGTGAATTCCTTGTGAGCAGGGACTGTTTTTGCCTTTCTATCAGGTCAGCACAGCACCCGGCACATTGTAAGCATTAAATAGATGCTTCTTGTCTGACTGACTAAGACTATAAGTCCAGAAGGGAGCAGGCTCAGTAGGGACAGCACAGTAACATCAGTGGCCATGCAACATTGATGGAGTCTTCCCTCCCTACGCATGTTTCTCTCCATGTGTGCATGCTGGCCACATGTGTTCCCTATGCCTGTGCCCCCTTTTGCCACTGATGTTGTATGTGCTTTGGGGTGAGTACTCCCCAGTTTTGGGGGAGAGGTAAATACTTTTGTTGCTTTTATCTTTACTATGCCTACATTCCATACACATTTACTATTTAAGAGTGTCCTTGGTCAGAAGAAGCGATACAAGGACACTCTCAAGGTCTTTCTTAAGAACTTTGGAATTGATTATGTGGCATGGGAGACACTGGCACAGGACTACCCAGCATGGCGTGCCCACATCAGAGAAGGTGCTGTGCTCTATGAGCAAAGCAGAATTGAAACAGCTCAAAGGAAACACAGGATGCACAAATTTAGAGAATCCACCCCAAATGTTCGCATGGACTATCTGTGCCCAAACTGTGGTAGAGAATTCCAAGCACATATTGGTTTGATCAGCCATAGTCAGACACACTGAAACTTGAATCTCGCATAGTGGCACCATTTTGGTCCTCTTGGAGAAAACAGGACAAGAATATGTCGAGGGCCAGCTCTGATCAGTCCAGCAAAGGGTTAAAGAATTCAGGTTGGAATTTAACTCCTGCCTGTTCTTACCTTCAAGGGCTCACTTAATCAGGATGTTGCCTCACCACTCTCCTATTCATTAGAACTGGAACTGCCCGACTGTGACACTATAAAAGTCTGGCATGAGGGATAACATGTGGCAAACAAGGGAGGACTAGTCTCATACTTTGAGATAAGAACCCAAGAAAGCCCTGAGAATGATTGTCAAGGCCTGTTAATTGACTGTTAATCTCTATCTTGTAACCATTTGTTTAAAATGATGTAAACCTTTTTTCTTGATACTTTTATTGTATGCTCCTTTGATGTATGTCCTGAAAGCATTTTTTTTACCGAGCTCTGAACCTTGAAAGTTATCAGTTAACAGTTACAGAATATGCATAGTTTTCCCACACAAGGGATCCTTTGAAGTTCCAAACTTTTTCCCATATATGCTGTGACCCTCAGATGAATAAACGGTTCAGTCGTGGCTGACCCGCCTGGCCCATGTTTCTTCAGTTCACGCTCTCCCGTCAGGTGATTCGTAGTTGCTGGCAACAGAATAATATCAGCCAATGTACATCCCTGAATGAATACAATTATATCTTCCTTCCTCCAGCCCAAGAGTAGTTTGGAAACAAACTTATCCAAAATTCATGGCTTCAGAATGGAGGAACTGGCTTGAAAAGTCCCGAAGTCATGCCCAGCAAGCAAAAACAAAAGAAACCCACATTGTCTACACTTCTTTGGACACAGGAGGTCGATCTTGAAGACAAAAGCTTATGTCGTTTCCCCCAGTTTCTATCTTTCTCTGTTGAACAGGATTTCTTTATATGATCCCCTTTTTACAATTTGGGAGTAGATTGAAGAGATCAATATATGATATAGTCACTGTGGGCCTGAGGTGAGTAACTAGAACAGAATGAAAGGAAATAAAAATTACTCTCCATATTGGATACTTTTTTTCTTAATTGGACTGTTAAGGAAAATGCCAGGATTTAAATTCTCAGGTTGTTGTCTGAACTGTTTAAGAATCATGCAGCTACAAAGGTAAAAAGGATGTTTTCACCCCTATTCACTATTGCTGATACTCTCAGTTGCCTTAGATGCACCAAGTGATTGTTGGTTTGTTTGTTTTTTTTCAAAAGTTAAACATTACAAGAGGGTGGAACCAGATAGGGAAATACAAGGTTGAAGGTGCTGAGTAACGTGTTGTTTTTTTTTAAGGCGTTGCTTTGAAATAGAACTATTTATTAGAAAACTTAGAATAATTTGCAAAACAGCCAGTCCAAACTTTGGTGAGAGGACACCAAAGCCTTTGAACATCAGAACCAAGAGAAAGGCAAGATGAGCACCGCAGGAAAAGTAAGTAAAATATTTTCATATCTTCATCACAAACTAACAAGATAAGTAACTGTAACTTGAGAGTTTTTTATTTATTTGGGAAAGTAAATCTTTGAGAGAGGAAAAGACTAAGCAGGCAAGCATTTAGCAAAAATGTTGGTTGGAACATTTCATTGCTGTAGGAAGAAAATGGAGACTGTAAGCAGAATGACTATGGGGAGGGATATTCTTACTGCACTACTTTAGCAGGATTAGAAGAAATATAGTTTACATCCGTTCACTAGGAAGTTAACACTTTCTGCTCTGAATGCTGTATTTAGTAAGTGGTGGCATGTGCTGCATGGTATGCTAACACTAAAGGATGGGGCATGCCTGCGAAGGCCTATGGATGTAATTTTTACCAATTACCTATGTGAGGGTAAGACATAAAGATGTCTGTGCTCAAGGACTTGTTTGCATGAATAGAACAACTGAGCATATGATAGAACAGAGGTTCTGAAACTTTTTGAGTGAGTCTGGGATAGTCTTTTGAAGTCCATGGATTCTTTCTCAGAAGAATATTTTTAAATGAATAACATAAAATACATAGAATAGCAAAGGAAACCAATTATATTGAAGTATCATTATCAAAATGTAAAAAAAAAAAAAAAAACCAGCCCTAAAAAGTCATGGACACTTTGTAGTGTTATAGTTAATAAAGTTTTCCCAGATAGTAAATGTAATTCCCACAATAACCATGTAAAGCAGATAAAAGTTCAATTTTCTTATTTTATGGATGAGGTAGTTGAATCAGAGAGAAGATAATTAGATTAACCAAATGTTTATCGATTTTATTGGCTTTTTCCTAAAGCCAGATCTTAGTTTTATTTATTAGTTCAATAGTTTTCTTAATTTCAATTTTATTAATCTCTCCTTTGGTTTTCAGAATTTATAATTTGGTATTTAATTGGAGATTTTTAATTTGTTATTTTTCTAGCTTTTTTAAATTCTTTTTTATTTTTAGGCAATTGGGGTTAAGTGACTTGCCCAGGGTCACACAGTTAGTAAGTGTCAAGTGTTTGGTCTGAGGCCAGATTTGAACTCAGGTCCTCCTGACCTCAGGGCTGGTGCTCTATCCACTGTGCCACCTAGCTGCCCCCATATTTAACTTTTCTAAAATTCTATTGATCTCCTTGACTTCTTTCTTGTTTATTTTGTGGTTAAATTTATCTAGTTCTGAGAAGAGGAGGTTGAGGTCCCCTACTGGTATAGTTTTGCTGTCTATTTCTTTCTGTATCTCCTTTAACTTCTTCTTTAAGAATTTGGATGCTATACTACTTAGTGCATATATGTTTACTAATGATATTACTTCATTATCTATGGTACCTTTTACTAGGATGTAGATTCCTTCCTTATCTCTTTTAATTAGATCTATTTTTGCTTTTTTTGCTATTTTATCTTTACTCTGTGTGTATCCTTCTGCTTCAAATGTGTTTCTTGTAAATAACATATTGTAGGATTATGGTTCTTTTTTAAAAATTTTTTTTGGTGAGGCAATCGGGGTTAAGTGACTTGCCCAAGGTCACACAGCTAGTACATGTCAAGTGTTTGATCTGAGGCCAGATTTGAACTCAGGTCCTTCTGACTTCAGGGCCGGTGCTCTATCCACTGTGCCACCTAGCTGCCCCAACTAGGATTATGGTTCTTAATCCACTCAGCTATCCATTTCCATTTTATGGGAGAATTCATCCCATTCACATTCACAGTTATGATTACTATCTGTGTCTTCCTCTCTATCCTATGCCACCCCCCCCTTTATGCTTTTCTGTCTTCTTTTTCCATTTCCCTCCTCAGTAGAGTTTTGCTTTCAACTACCACCTCCTTCCTCCTGCCCTTCTTTCTATTAGCCCCTTCTTTTTTTCCCCTTTACCCTTTTTACTTCTTCCCTCCCTTCTATTCACCCCCTCCCTTTTCTTTTCCCTTTCCCCTCCTACTTCCTATAGGGTAAGTTAGATTTCTATACCTAACTGATTATGTTATTCCCTCTTTGAACTAAATTTTATGAGAATAAAGTTCAGACAATGCTCATTTCCCTCCCTTCTTTCTGTCCACTGTATTAGGTTTTTGTGACTTTTCATGTGATATAATTTATCCTTGCCTGCCTCCTCCTTTCCTCTTCTCCCAGCACAATCTCTTTTCACCACTTAATTAAATTTTTTACCATCACATCAAAGCAGCTTATACCCATGCCCTCTGTCTAAGTATACCCCCTTTTAAAAGTCATAATAACATTACAGTTCTTGAGAGTTATAAGTGCCATCTTCTCTTGGAGGGATGTAAACACTTTGCCTTCATTAATAATATGTTGTTGGTTTTTTCTTTTCTGTTCACATCTTTATGCTACTCTTGAGTCTTGTATTTGAAAGTCAAATTTTCTGTTGAGTTTTCGTCTTTTCATCAGGAAGGTTTGGAAGTCCCCTATTTCACTGAATGTCCATCCCCCCCATTCCCCCCCACCTGAAAGATTATGCTCATTTTCAATGGGTAGTTGATCTTTGGTTGTAATCCAAGCTCCTTTGCCTTAAGGAATATTATATTCCATTCCCTCTGATCTTTTAAGGTAGAAGCTGCAAAGTCCTGCATAATCCTGACTGTTGTTCCATGATATTTACATTGCTTTCTTTCTGGATGCTTGCAGTATTTTCTCTTTGATCTGGTAATTTTGGAATTTGGCTACAATATTCCTTCACATTTTCAATTTGGGATCTCTTTCAGGAGGGGATGGTTGGATTCTTTCAATGACTAATTTATCCTCTGGTTCTAGGACCTCAGGGCAGTTTTCTTTGATGATTTCCTGAAGGAAGTTGTCCAGATTCTTTTATTGATCATGACTTTCTGAGAGTCCAATGATTCTTAAATGATCTGTCCTGGATTTATTTTCCAGGTCAGTTGTTTTTCCAACATGAGGTATTTTACATTTTCTTCTATTTTTTCATTCTTTTGATTTTGTTTGAATGATTCTTGAAGTCATTAGCCTCCACTTGCCCAATTCTAATTTTTAAGGAATTATTTTCTTAAGTTAGCTTTTGTACCTCCCTTTCCATTTGGCCAGTTCTATTTTTTAAAGAGTTGCTTTCTTCAGTCAATTTTTGTGCTTCCTTTTCCAAGTTGTTGTCTCTTTTTTCAAAATTCTCCAACATAACTCCCATTTCTTTTCCCAATTTTTCTTCTACCTCTCTTATTTGATTTTTAAAATCCTTTTTGAGCTCTTCAAAGAGGACTTTTTGGCCTTGAAACCAGTTCACATTCCTGTTTGAGGCTTCAGATGTAGGCATTTTGACATTGCTGTTCTCTTCTGAGTTTGTATTTTGATTTCTCAGTCACCATAGCAGCTTTCTATGGTCAGGGTTTTTTTTTTGTTTGTTTGTTTTGTTTCCTACTCTTTTTTCATCTCATTTAGTGACTTTTAAAGTTGAGTTCTTCTTCTGGGATGCAGGAGGCACTATCCTAAGCTTCTTATGCTGGAGGTCAAGGGCATGGTCATTGGCTTTCAGGGCCTCTGGTGCTTATAGCTTGCCCACTGCACTGGGGGTTGCCCAGCCTAGTCATACCTGTTGTGCTGGGATTCTGGGGCTTGCAATTCACCTTCTGCACTGGGGCTGGAGGATTCACTGTTGACCTGTTAAACTAGGACTGAGGGGCCTTGGTTGCTGATCTGTGCTGTGACTGAGAGCCTCCTGTTGGCTTGTCTGGACACCATTTGCACTGGGCTGGGCTCCTCTTTTACCCAAGTGAGACAGATCTTTTCTGAAGTCCTCCTAAGTTATCTTAAGCTGGAAAATTATTTCACTCTGTCTTTTTGTGTGTTCTGTTGCTCCAGAATCCATTTAGAGGCTTGGTTTAACATTGTCTCTGAGGGAAACTGAGGAGAACTCAGGTAACTTCTTGGCTTCTTTCCACCATATTGGTTCCATACCTCTTCCAACACTCCAAGATGCAGGGCAAAGTTCTGAGGTAGACCAAGTCTATGACATCTTCCCACCTGAATTTCTGATTCCTCTTACCTCCTCTCTTGCCAGGACTGTAGTAATCCTCTCCCTCACACTGCTCTTCTCTAGTCTCCAATGCAGCACTCCACCTAGGTTATCCTACACTACAAACTATTCCAAGCCCCCAAAATATCTATCACCACTCTGTGATCAAAAGCTCAATTTCTAGGAGGCAAAAAAGCTGAATGAATTCACATTATTATGTTAGTGACTGATAGCCAGTTTTTGCATTAAAAAAAAATGACTCTCCTTAACCTAACTGCATCTCTAACTGGTAAGTACTGTATCAGGCAGCATAACACAAAGAAGGCAAGAAAAATTCTTTGTGAGGCAAAATCCTTTGGACAGAGAGATTCTCAGCTGGGAGATCAGCCCTACCTGGGAATCAGCTCCCAGGCTCAGATCTTGTGGATGTTTCTAATTTGCACAATCTCTTCCTTTCCTCCACTTCTGGACCCACAGGTTCTTTGAAAGCTGTGTTTTTTTTTTCCTTTCTCCCAATAACTCTCATGCCAATGGCTCTAGCCTTCTAAGAAGCAGTTTTTCTGGGGCAGCTAGGTGGCACAGTAGATAGAGCATTGGCCCTGGAGTCAGGAGGACCTGATTTCAAATCGAGTCTCAGACCAGACACTTGACACTTATTAGCTGTGGGACCCTGGGCAAGTCACTTAACCCCAACTGCCTCGCAAAAAAGAAGAAGAAGCAGTTTTTCTCCCAAAACAGTTGTTTTGTAATTTAAGCTTGTAAATGCATGAAAAAGTTCTGGGATTGATAGTGCACTAGTTCAACAGCCCACCCTGACAGCTCTTGCACTGGATTTTCCCTGGCTTAGGTTAGTCGAATTATCAGGAGTTATGGGTGCATGAATATGTCACACTTGTTCTTGCTATTTTCCCAGGTGATTAAGTGCAAAGCTGCTGTGTTGTGGGGCCTGAATCAACCCCATTCCATTGAGGAAATAGAAGTAGCCCCACCAAAAGCCTATGAAGTTCGAATTAAGGTACTGAAATTCTTAATTCCTTTAAGAGAAAGCCTGAGATTTCCTTGGTATAGGCAATTCCCCAAAAGGAAACTCCCTCCACCAATGAGACTGGCATCCACTCTGCATCTCAGGGTCTCTGAGTTGCCTGGGAGCACTAAGAAGTTCAAGGACCTACCCTGGGTCATACAGCCTCCAGGGCCTGGCACTGGAGTCTTAAGTGATCCTGAGTATAATACCGTTCCAAACATATGCTGGTCTGTAAATCTCATCTTGCTAAGGGGCTCCTACCATAGGTAAACAGATGCACCACTGGCATGGCTAACCAGCTAAATGGTTCTGAGTCACCTCCTTTCCAATATGACGTTAAATCTCTCTGGCTGCCAATATTGTGATTGTTATATTATTCCAGGCACTTCTCAAAGATTCTTTTTGTGACAGTTATCTTAGAAAGTTGTTGATAGTGAAGTGAGCAGAACCAGGAGAACATTGTACATAATAACAACAATACTGCTCGATGGAGAACTGGGAATAACTTAGCTATTGTCGGCAATACAATGATCTGAGACAATCCCAAAGGACTCATGATGAAGCATACTATCCAATCTCAGAGAAAGAACTGATAGTGTTTGAATACAGACTGAAGCGAACTATTTTTCACTTTCTTTCTTTCTTCTTGTATTCAAGTCTTCTGGTATAAAATGACTAATATGGAAATGGTTTATACATTTCACATGTATAACATATCAGATTGCTTACTATCTAAGGGAAGAGGGATAGAATTTGGAACTCAAAACTTTACATAACAATTTTTTTAAAAAAAAGAAATGCTAAGAATTGTTTTTATATGCAATTGGGAAAAAATAAAATATTAACAAAGAAAAAGAAAAAAGAAAGATATTTGCAAGCTCCATAGATGAGATAAATGTACCCCAACCTATATTATCATTACCCCCAAAGGACTCTAGGCCAAAAATCTAGATGTGCATGAGGAAGAAAATATCAAGGTCATTTGGAAGTAAATGTATCCAGTATTGTAACATATTTGGAGAATCTCACTCAGAAGTCTCTGGAGTAATGCTTTCCTTCTTTTGTTTTCTTCAAGTACAATCAATTCTTTATTGTATAGGTACTGAACTCAAGTCAAGTACAGTCAGTCATTGAGAAAAATCCCTTTACCATAAAATGATTTCCAAAGTATTCACCAGTACTGAGATTTCCGGGAATATTTGATGCCATAGCATTGTATAACAAAAGATTTTGGATAATTTGCTGAACTTAGTTTTGAAGTGATTTGACATACATAACAATAGATTGACTCTGAGGGGGTTATTAATATCCTAGGGTGTAAGTCCAAGGGTTGGTTTTTAATTTATTTATTTGTATTTCTTCCGGGTAATTAATAATGAATTTATTAATTAGGCTAGCTAATAATCAATAACTTGATGATCAGTAGTTTCTCTCAGTAACCAAAGACATCTAATGGAGACACTGAATGCCTTAAATTTTTTTTTTAAAAGGAATGCCCCTGACAAGACAAATCAACCTTGATTGATTTAAATTAGATAGGTTAGAAGTCTTCAGATCCTCCTGCTCAGAACTGGGCTTGATCAAGAGACTCAGTGCCTCCAGCAATCTGGTCAGAAGAATCAATCTCCACCCAGACCACTCTGGTTGGTTTTCTCCTTCATGACCTGGGTGGGTCACCTTAAACTCCAATGGAGGGGTACAAGGACATGGGCTTATTCACGAAGGTCAAGAATTCACCTAGATTAGATTCTATTTACACTCTAAACAGAAGTAAGGTCTTCTAGTTGGATGGAGTCCCATCCAAGATAGCTGAGCATGTTCCCTGGGGATTAGGGCAATCTCATCTATCAGCCATGATCTTCAGAGATAAGGGTTGGGCCCTAAATAAAGAAATAAAGAGCCTGGATCCTAATTAATAATTGTTTGTTAATATAATAGCAAAATAATAATTTCTGTCATAGAATTGTTGTTCAACTGTGAGTCACAAGGGAAGAATTTAAAAATGAATATCTGATAGAACTCAAAATGGGTATCAATCAGAGGGCAAAGAAGAAATGAATGTTAGCTGAAAACAGAGGACTCCTTGAATAGAGGATGTCATTAGGGAAATGTACGATCCAAAAGATGTGCTGATTACATAATAAGAGCCAGAGACAGCCCCTATGTGCTCCATTAGGACTCCAGGACATCAGGCAGGACAAACAGGAAGACACAGACAGGAATCATATAATATGGGGAGTGGGCTTGGATAAATTGCAGTCCATGTTGTTGGAGACAGCATCCGATCAATGAGATCACACTTCCACATACATATGTGACTTAGACTTTGACATCTCTCTTTCCCTCGTTAAATATTTATTGAGTAATCACCATAACGTATTGTAGATAAATTAGGTCTTACAAAATCTTCTACAACTCAGCAAGCCATGAAGTTTTTTTTTCCCTTTCCTTTGATTGATATTAGGTATTAGGTATTAGGTACACTGACCAAATGTAAGCACTTTGTTCTCTCCTTGGCATATATTTTGTATTTGTTTTTATGTTTTTATCCCTCAGTGGAATGTAAGCTCCTTGAAGACAGGAATGAGTGTGTTTTCTTTTAGTTTTATGTCTCTGGAACTCATAATTGTGCCTTTCATTTGGCAGGATTTGATAAATTCTTATTGAATTGACTTGGAATTTCTAAAATAAGATATCCCCTTTCAACTGAAGATATTTCCCTTTTTCCGACAATAATAATGATGATTATGAATTTATATAAAATCATGTTATTTTATTAATACTATTTTTCATTAATAAAGTATAATCCTGCATGCCTTGGGTAATGACTCACCTTCAAAAATATTTCCTAGTTCCGTTTGTGGTCATGTTCCATGGTGCATCTTCCAAAAATTTAAGTCATAACCCTTTATATTTTCCTCTAGTGTATAGAATCATTGTAAATTTCAATTTGACTTTTTCTCATTACCTTGAAACAGTGTTTGAGATCAAAGAAGGTTTTCCAGCCTCACGCCTGGAATTGGGATAATTAATACTAGTAAGAGCTTTCAGAGAAAGTCCCTTCCTCTGCTGATCTGCCTCTCTGAGTCATTTCATGCTTTGTCTACTGGAAAAAGCAAAAAAATAAAAATACAAAAAAGATATTATCATATGGTTCTTTGGTGAGATGATCAATCATACCTTGGCTGGTTCCCCTACCTGAACACTTTGCATTTCACTGCATGTGGAATGTGGTGACTGAACTGAGCAATACTCTTTCAAAATGTCACCTCCCTCAGAACAATAATCTTTTGCTAAATGTTAGGCAAAGAACCCAACACAATATAAGCACTAAGAGAATCATCTCTGTGCAAATGGTAGTTCAGTGAAGAATAATCTAAATGCCCCCTTCCTGCTATTTCCAAAATGTCTTGTTATGCCTTGGGTTCAATTGCCTTTCTCTTTTCATGTAGATGTTGGCTACAGGCATATGTCACACAGATTATGATGGAACCACAGGAACCATGCCTGCTAGGTTTCCAGAAGTTGGAGGACATGAGGGATGTGGAGTTGTAGAAAGTATTGGAGAAGGAGTAACTAGCATGAAACCAGGTGAGTAACAGGTTTTTAACCTGGGTTCTGTGAATTTGTTTTTTAGATATGTTGGTAACTGCATTTCAATATAATTTGGTTTCCTTCATAATCCTAAATCTATTTTATTATATGCATTTCAAAACATTATTCTGAGAGTGAGTTCATGGACTTTACCACATTTCCAAAGTACACACACCAAAAAAAAAGAATAAGCATCCTATGAATATTGGCCAGGATACAAGTTTTAAATGGAGAGAGTGAAAAGAGATCACCCTTCCTCTTCTAACAGGGATCTTATTTATGCCTTTCATTTCTACAGCATAGTCATTTCTGGGTATGTTCCAATCCCAAATGCTAATGTTTTTTTAATCATAATTTTTTTTCTCTTCTAGGAGACAAGGTCATCCTGCTTCCTGTCCCACAGTGTGGAATTTGCTCTTCCTGCATGCACCCGACTTCCAATTTCTGTGAGAGGATTGAGTGAGTTTCTGTCATTTTTACTGAGATTTCATTTATTTGCCCCATCATTTGAGCAGAAATCATTTACTGGTGGCATTGATGTATTGAATAGTATTACAGGTAGGGGAGTACTGCGTGAAGGCACTAGCAGATTTACCTGCAAAGGGAAAACCGTCTACAACTTCATGAATTCTAGTACCTTCAGTGAGTACACAGTGGTGGATGAAGTTGCAGCTGTGAAAATTGATGCTGCCGCTCCAGCTGAGAAGGTGTGTGTGATTGGCTGTGGATTCTCTACTGGATATGGGGCTGCAATCAACACTGGAAAGGTAAGATTATGATCAAAGGAAGGAGAATGGCCAATGAGGAAACAAAACTGGGACTCTTTATAGATAATATGATGGTATACTTAGAGAATTCTAAAAAGCTAGTTGAAATAACGAACAACTTCAGCAAAGTTGCAGGATATAAAGTAAACCCACATCCATCTTCAGCACTTCTGTATATTACCAACAAAGTCCAGCAGGAAGAAATAGAAAGGGAAATTCCATTAAAATAACTGCAGACAACCTAAAATACTTGGGAATCTAACCACCAAGAGAAACTCAGAAACTATGTGAACACAATTACAAAACACTTTTCACAGAAATAAAGTCAGATCTAAACAATTGGAAAAACATTGATTGCTCATGAGAAAATATAATTTAAAATGATAATTCTACCTAAATTAATTTACTTATTCAGTGCCATATCAAACTACTGAAGAATTATTTCATAAAGTTAAAAAAAAATAACAAAATTCATCTGAAACAACAAAAGATCAGGATTATCAAGGGAAGCTGCTGTGGGTTCTCAAGTGTTAAACCAACAGAGCCCTAGTACCGGAAGGTTTGCGATGGAGAAGATGTTTCTGGAATAGTCCCGGCAACACATTGATTGTCCTTTCCATGGACCAGCCTAGCTATATATGGAAAATCTCATCAACAGTAGGGTGACTATTTAACGATGAATTGTTTTGCCATGGTAACCCTGGAAATAAAGATAAATATGACATGGTACATATAATGGCATGTGACACTTCAATTTCTTCTGTGACATTGTTATACGGCAGGGTAGGTGATTCTAAGAATCACAAAATGTTTAGACCCTCTTTAAATCTCAATTTGGCTATTGGTGTGTGACAGGCATCCTTATCTATTGACCAATTAGTGCATGTATTATTAGACTTACGGAATTAAACCCATCAGGACATTCTCAAAGTTAAAAAGGGGGAAAGACACAGAAGAAAGAAGTACATTGCCTCTAAATGGAAGAATGAATTTCAGGTTCTCTTTGATGAGGTAAATGAAGGAATTGGTGGGATTGGTTCTATAGCAAATCAAAAGGCAGCATGAAAAGTCACTTCAAGGGGGTCTTGACTGTACAAACACTTCTGTGTTTGCCTATGTGTACATCAGCGGATAGAGGAAGGCAGTAAGGCACATATATTCTCATAAGAAAGCAAATGTGAGTGGTATCATTTAAAGAATTGCAAAGCGGGGTTGCCTACACTTGAAAGTTATGAGTGAAGTCTTACCCCAAGGTGTCAATGTGGTATGAAGGAGGCCAGCCCTGTTTTTTTTCTGACCAAAAATATTTCATCATAACAGCCTTTTAAATCAATTCATCAGCATGTTGCCCTGTACCTTTCTCAGAAACATAGATGCCATTCCAAATTTTTCTGGTCTTCTTGGTTTTTTTTTTTTTTTTGGTTGGGTCCTATTGGATCAAGGCAATCAAATTTAATATAAGTTCAAATTTACTTGCTTTAAGAATTAACTCATCCATTTGGGCTTAAGAAACTCTTGGTCCCATGCACACTCTTCAGATATATTTTTCACCCAGGAAGTTTCTGATTTCAACAAGTGAGTCAATCTCTCTCTTTTTTTTTTTATTTTTTTTTTGGCAAGTCAGTTGGAGTTAAGTGACTTGCCCACGGTTGCACAGCTAGTAAGTATCAAGTGTCTGAGGTTGGATTTGAACTCGGATCTTCCTGACTCCAGAGCCAGTGCTCTATCCCCCATGCCACCTAGCTGCCCCCTTGAGTCAATCTCTTAAATAACAATTGTGATGGAGAAGTTAGCATATACGGACTTTATCCTGTACCAAAAATCCAGTATAATGCCTCTGATCAAGTTTTGCATGTGTCAACAGATCATATGAAGCATTTCTAGTTTTTTTCAATTTCTGCACTACTTGTCAACCTGGAGTTTTAACAATTCCTTCCAGGGAGACAGAACTCAACATTAATATGGTTGAAATCCCTTTGCAAGTTTCCTCTCAAGTCCCTCACAACAGCTGTCCAGCTCTTTCAAAAATTGTCAGCATTTTCTGGGATAGCAACTATCTGGTTTCTGAAAATGGTCTTCATTCTGTTCATGGACAGGCCAAAGAGTTTGCCCTGGGTTTTTGAAAAGCTATGCCCAATGGATCACAAATCTTGGCAGCTTGCAGTAGTACAGGCCAGACTCACAACCTGTTATGATAGAATGAAATGAGATAATTATAAAACATCTGACAAATCACAAAATAAAGTTTATTTGGTCATAGTAGGGAAAAGCGATTTGATGAGGAAAAAGCATTGCTTCAGTTGGGTGTAGCTTCCATCAAAATTTGCCAATCAAAAGTTTGAGGGAGGAGCTGGTGACTTTCCACACTGTAGCTTTTTTGTCCCTACGGTAGGACACTAAAAATCTACATTAATTATCCCAAGTTTAAGACCTGGAATTAATTAAGTCTTGAAGAAACTTTCAATATCCTTTAAGGAAAAATTAGCATAGCCTTCATGAAATACCACACTAGGCTATTTTCTCCTACCCCATAGGTACAAAACAATGAAAATACATTCTTTTAAAATATTCTGCAGTTATTATTTTTCATTTATTTCATTTATTCATGTATTTCATTTATTTATTCAGACTTCTTCCCTCTTCCCCCATACATACAACTAAAGTAATGAAGCTACTATAACTATAAATCACATTAGTGAAATAGAACAGTGATTTGCATTGTGGTAGATAGTATGGAATCTACTGAATGGGGTCTTGACAGGATTGGTGTTTGGGAAGAAGAACCAAAGAAATTATATCTTGTGAGCATCACAAAGTAATAAAAAAGAGAGAGTGGTAGCACCCTCTCCTATGTCCCATTATCCAATTAGGCTGGGACATTGACACTAGAAAATTACTTCCTAGTCATAATTTGGTTTCAAACTTCCAATAGTTGGGACATCTAGGTGGTGCAGTGATTAGAGCACTGACCCTGAAGTCAGGAGGACCTGAGTTCAAATCTGGCCTCAGACCAAAACATTTGATGCTTACTAGCTGTGTGACCCTGGGCAAGTCACTTAACCCCAATTGCCTAAAATCAAAAACAAAAAAAAAAAAAACAAAGAAAAACAAACAAACAAACAGACTTCCAAAAGTACATGCTAAACAGTTCCATAGAGTTCAGGCTTTTTTTTTTTTTAATTACTTGATTTGATCTTCCTGGAGCTATTCTCAAAACTTATGGTCCTGTGCGTGTAGTAATTATTGATTTCAGAATCATCTTTTTGGGAGGTTCAAAGTTCATGACTACCCAGAACTTAATGTTATGAAAAACAGCTTTAAAATCATCTTAGTATGATTCAATAAACTTTTTTTGGAGTTAAAAACTCTTAAAAATTAACTGTGGCTTACATGGATTTGATCTAAATTTTAAAATGACTGTCCGAATCCTGTTTGGTTTTGGCACAATCAAAGTAATTATAATGTAGTATGTATGCTATGCTATTACACAGCATTTCATTAGAAGTGCATTATCAAATGCATTTAAATTTCGTTTAGGTAACAAAACACACCGCTGTTTTTCACTTAATACGAAATGATCCTTCGTTCATTGGTTTTGCAACAAATAGAGCATTCACTCATTCAGTCTCCTCAAAGTTGACACGTTCCATGACCACAGAGGAATATAATGCTCTTCAGATAACCCAAACACACAGGAACACATTAGCAACTCTTTGATACCTTGTAACTGTTGCTGTAACTTCTTCATAGCTACACTGACTTTGGTGTTCTCTCTGTCCTTCTTTAAAACTGGAATGTTTCCACTTGCAACATCATCAATGTCTTCTCAGCCTTTGCCACCACCACTACACATAACGAAAGGCACTCTCCGTTCAGCTACTGTCTGACATTGCACCCATTTCTTCATCAGGTTAACACAGCTCTTACAAGCACACATGTGGCCACAGGGTTGACAGTGAATAGCAGCTTCCTTATTGGATTGCACAACATATTCTTCAATCTTTGTTCTAGACTGAACTTGTTCTTTACAGATGAGGCATTTCTTGACATGTGGACAACGCAGAGATGATGTAGCAATATGTCCGCATGGGCCAAAAAGAGTGTCTCTCTTCATATCTGAACATACCATACATTCCTCTAAAGTTCTGAATCGTTCCTGATCATAGAGGGACTGCATGAATCCACCTGACCACTGACTTTTTCTTTGTGACACGTGGCCAGTGCTTTGCAGAGGTTAGGATTAGGACATAGATCAAGTAGAGACTGACCATTCTCATTTCAAATGCTAAAGTCAGCTTGGTTGGTTGCTAAGAAACATGCAATAGATGCACTCTTCTCTGACCCTTATGTACCAAGTTCCATTATTAATTTGTTTTTGGATGGTTCCCAGGCTGTATCCACTTTCCCCACATCCTGCATATCTTGGAGCTGGCAGCATTGTGATAAAGTAAGATTTCTCAGAGTTTCATGCAAGGGAGTATCCCCATCTTTATCCTGAATATCCAGTTTAGCACCTGCATGAACCAAAAGCCTGACTATTTGAGTGCGTTGTCGTTTAATAGCAAGGTGTAGTGCCTGTTTGCTGGTTCACATTCCGGATACCCAGCTTTGCATTTACCCAAAGCCCAAGAGTTCAGCCACTTTTATGTGATTATTAAGTGTAGCTAAATGCAAGGCAGTGTAACCATCATCTTTTTTCTCATACACAATCCATGGTCTTGGCAGTTTGGATAGTAACACACACATTGCACTGGGGTTTTCTCGTAGTGTAGCATGGTGTAGAGCATTAAATCCATAGTTGTTTGTGATTGTAACATCTGCCCCAGCTTCTAGAAAGACTGCAAGAATAGTGGGTGCATAAAATACTAAAACTGTCTTTGGTTCTCAGAGCGCCAAACTTTATGATCAGTGCTTCGCATACAGTAGATACTTAATTAATGTTTGTTGTATTTGAATTTTGTTAATTGTGAACGATATCACCAAACTGTGAAAGATACCACCAAAAAAGAAAAAACCCCTCATGATTGGCAAAGATGGTTATATTGTAAAAGAATGGAAAGACAGATAGATGGAGGGATTTGCTGATACGTACTGAATGTTGAAAGACCTAGCAAAGGCTTCTAATGCTTGGGACAGATTTTTCCATGAAGCTCTATGATAAGACATGGGCAAGAATCTAATAGAATAATCAATTATGCATGAGCTGGGATCAGCACCATGGGAACACCCTTCTTATTGACCTATTGAAATATTGAGACAGGCAGGAATCAATCAATCAATTAATCGATAAGTGTGTATTAAGGAGCTACTCTCTTCTCTATGCTGAGCACTGAGCTAGGCCCTGGCAATAGAGAAGACATGAAACCATCCTTGATTTAAAGTAGCTTCTATTAGGAGAAATGGCTTGTGCATATATAAGACAATATGAAATAGATATAAGTAAATATAAGGACTTTTTTAGTAGAGAGGCATTTTCAGACTTTTTCAGTCATGTCCAACTCTTCATGACCCCATTTGGGGTTTTCTTAGCAAAGATGCTGGAGGTGTTTGCCATTTCCTTCTCCAGCTCATTTTACAGATGAGGAAACTGAGGCAAACCAGGATCACACAGTTAGTGTCTCAGGCCAGATTTGACTCAGGAAGAGGAATTTCCCTGATCATTATCCATTGCACTATTAGGGGCAGGGTAGGGAAATGGGGGTGGAGGTGGGGGTGGCAAATCAGAAAAGTCTTGATAAAGATATAAGGTTATTTGTGACAACAAAAAGTTTGCACATTCTCCCCTTCACAAGTGCCTCTATGCATTTAAAAAAAATGAAACTTCTGAGATAACAGAACATCCAGAACATCGCTTCCATATATGTGTGTGTGACCTCTAAACTGCTATGTTTCTCATCCCTTCAAAGTATTACTACCAAAATCAGTTTGTCAATGGTTGCCTTGGACTAGTTACGCTCTATGTTTCATGTTTTCCAAGATTCCAGACTTATTATAATATCAGTTTTACTGGATCAATCATTAATCACTACAGGTCAGTATTTTTTCATCACCATAGGTCCACCCTGGATCCACTTGCGTTGTGTTTGGGCTGGGAGGAGTTGGCCTTTCTGTTGTGATAGGCTGTAAAGCAGCCGGTGCTTCCCGGATCATTGGAATTGACATCAACCCACGCAAATTTGAGAGGGCCAAGGCTGCAGGGGCCACTGAGTGCATCAACCCTAAGGACTACACAAAGCCCATCAGCGAGGTGCTGAAGAAAATGACTAACAATTCTGTGGACTACACCTTTGAGGTCACTGGAAACCTTGATACCATGGTGAGTAATCAATAGGTAGAAAGGAGAATTTGAGAGTCAGGACTAAATTTATTCAACCCCAGCTCAAAATCAAAGCAATGGTAGAGTTCACCTCTCAATGGTTTCATTCAGTAAGAGAGTCCTTAGAATATAGCTATGATCCAGATAAAAGCTGAATTTGCATAAACTAGTATAAATTAATCAACAGGAATTTAATAAGCTCCTTCTGTCCCCAGGTACTAGGCTACTAGGTTCTGGAGATTCAAATAAAAAAGTAAGACAGTACCTGCTCTCAGGCAGCTTATATTCTACTAGGCAGAAATAACATATATAAAGGAGTGGGAAGGGTGTCTCGGTCAGGTGAATCACAGGGGATGGTGAGTGGAGTCATTGATTTTCACATTATTTCTAATGGCAATGGTAGTATAGATATGATTATTTTTCTCTGAGCAAGAGCAGGAAGTATGAAGCTAGAGGTGGGAAAGAGGGTGATTCCTGGTAGTAGGGCAAATACCAGGTTTTCTGCATGAGGTGGAGCCTGGTGTCCCAGTTGAATCTAAGATGTGATGTGAAGCACAGTCTGAGCCTGGCTAGACATAGCAGTTGAGGGCAGTTTTTGCTCATTCATCTACTAGTCTGTAAATTTAGAAATTGATCACGAATATGTGAATCATATAATCAGATTTACATTGCCAGGGTCAAGTATAGCTCTGCAACAATATCTTCTGAGTTAAAAGAGACAAGTAATTACAAGCAATCAATACTTCAAGGAAAATATGTACTTTCTTGAATTGTTTTAATAATAATAATAATAATAACATAATAATAGCATTTATGTACTGTTTTAAGGTTTGAAAAACACTTTACAAATGTTGCTTCTTTTTATTCTTGCAACGATTGTGCTAGTTAGGTGTTATTTTCATTCCCATTATACAGATAAGAAAACTGAGACCAAAAGAGTGACTTGCCTAGGGTCATCCAATTATGTAGTAAGATTTCAAGGTTAGATTTGAATTCAGGTCTTCCTGACTCCAGGTCCATCATCTAACCACTGTGCCATCTCACTGCCTAAGGAGAAGAAAAGTGATCCCACACAGAGCTCAACCTGCCTCAGCGATCTGCCTGAGAGGCACAGAGGGGAAAGGAAAGCTGTGGGACCATTTGCAAGCCATACAATTTCTTCCCAAGGAATTTACATCCTTTCCCTCCTTCCCATTTTCTCCATCTGGGATTTCTGCTCCCTGGTGTATAGCTGAGCCTGAGTAAATGGTCCTTCAGATTAGTACAGTGGGCCCTGGCCCCAAGGTATCAAATGGAAATTAAACTCCTTTCATCTAGCCTCTCAGGGTGTGTGATTATTCTAACTCCACCCAAGGGGGTACAGCACTAGCCCAAGCGTGGAGTATGTACAGAAAAGGGGAATTTAGAAGGGTTGGCCCAAAGTCCCTGGTGACGACTATTGGCTAGGCGATCACTGCACAGTCTCACTGTTGATGCCCTTCAGTGGCCTAGGTGTGAGTAACTCCTAATTAATGAGAGTTACCTGGCTTTGCATCATCTCTTAGCATTTAGATTTATTGCCAAGAAAACTGATGACATGCTTAATTATTCTTTTACAAGAACAATATGTTTCTATTATATATTAGTAGTAATAATAATAATAAAAAATGTAATTTCTTTCTAGATATTTCCTAATAAACACTGATCTCTTAAAACTGACGGTGCCTTAGCCAAGGAGACTAGTACTATGCCTTTAGTAAGTACCTGGAGGAAGGGGAGACAGAAATAGATGGACAGAGTGAGGCAGAGAGACAGGTACAGGTGGGAGAAGAGAGAAAGGGGGAGGAGTGAGGAAGAAAGGAAGGAAAGAAGGAAGGAGGAAGAAAGAAAGGAAGGAAGGAAGGAAGGAAGGAGAAAAGAAACTAATACTTAGAAATAATATACTTTAATCTCAGTTTCTGTCTAGGAAGCAAGAAGTTACCTCTTAATACAGATTTGTTTTCCTATTTCATTTGACTTTAATGAAAAGTCAACAAAGTTTATTTTATTAAATTCACTGGGGTAAGATTTTGGTAATATATAGAAATGCTGATGATTTGTGTGGATTTATTTTATATCCTGCAACTTTGCTAAATTTGTTTATTATTTCAAATAATTTTCTACCTGATTTTCTAGGATTCTCTAAGTATACCATCATATCATCTGCAAAGAGTGATAGCTTTGTTTCTTCTTTGTCTATTCTAATTCTTTCTCAATTTCTTTTTCTTCTCTAATTGCTACAGCTAACATTTGTAGCACAATATTGAATAACAGTGGTGATAATGGACATCCCTTGTTTCACTCCCGATCTTATCGGAAATGCTTCTAGCTTACCCCCATTGCATATAATGCTTGCTGATGGTTTTTGATAGATACTATCTATCATTTTAAGGAAAACTCCATATATTCCTATGCTCTCTAGTGTTTTTAATAGGAATGGATATTGTATTTTTTCAAGTGCATTTTATGCATCTGTTGAGGTAATTGTATGATTTCTGTTAGTTTTGTTGTTGATACGGTCAATTATGATGATAGTTTTCGTAATATTGAACCAGCCCTGCATTCCTGGTATAAATCCTACCTGGTCATAGTGTATTATCCTCAAGATTAATGTTATTAAATCTCTTTGCTAATATTTTATTTAAAATTTTTGCATCTATATTCATTAGGGAAATTGGTCTATAATTTTCCTTCTCTGTTTTGGTTTTTCCCAGTTTAAATATCAGCACCATATTTGTATCATAAAAAGAATTTGGTAGGACTCTTTCACCTATTTTCCCAACTAGTTTATATAGTTTTGGAATTAGTTGTTCTTTAAATGTTTGATAGAATTCACTTGTAAATCCATCTGGCCCTGGAGATTTTTTCTTAAGGAGTTCATTGATGGCTTGTACAATTTCTTTTTTCTGAAATGGGGTTGTTTAAGTATTTTATTTCCTCGTCCATTATTCTGGGCAATTTATATTTTTATAAATATTCATCCATTTCACTAAGATTGTCAAATTTATTGGCATACAGTTGGGCAAAATAGCTCCTAATTATTGTTTTGATTTCCTCTTCACTGGAGGTAAATTCACCCTTTTCATTTTTGATGCTGGTAATTTGGTTTTCTTTCTTTTTTTAAAATCAAATTAACCAAAGGTGTATAAATTTTAGTGTTTTTTTTTCATAAAACCAGCTCTTAGTTTTATTTATTAGTTCAATAGTTTTCTTAATTTCAATTTTATTAATCTCTCCTTTGGTTTTCAGAATTTCTAATTTGGTATTTAATTGGGGATTTTTAATTTGTTCTTTTTCTAGCTTTTTTTTAGTTGCATGCCCAATTCATTGATCTCTTCTTTCTCTATTTTATCCATGTAAGCATTTAGAGATATAAAACATCTCCTAAGGACCACTTTTTCTGCATACCATAAGTTTTGGTATGTTGTCTCATTACTGTTATTCTCTTGGATGAAGTAATTGATTGTTTCTATGGTTTGTTGTTTGACCCACTCATACTTCAGGATTAAACTATTTAGTTTCCAATTAATTTTTAAGTCTATCTTTCCAATGCCCTTTATTACATGTGATTTTTATTGCATCATGATCTGAAAAGGATGCATGGGGTAAGATTTGAGGCATAGTTATATTGTTGATTCATGCTAGGCAGTATGTCTGGTGACACTGCTTTGATGATATTTCAGTGAATGAAATATTGTGAACATGATTTTTTTTTTCAATCACAGCATGGTGTTACATAAAAAGGACTGAATTTCAATGTCTAAGCTTTGGTACATCAGGGCTGAGTTCCAATCTTGGCTTGGCCACATGCTCCCTTGGGACCTTGGAGAAACGATTTCACTTTGCAGGGCTTCAGTCTCCTCATCTATAAAATGAAGAGGCTAGACTAGAGTGACTTCTAAGGTCCCGTTTTGCTCTAAATGTATGATCCTCTGATTCTGCCTTCTGTTTCCTGCCTTTGCAGGGAAGATGTCTATTGAAGGGGGACTGAGAACTGCAGAGTTTCTACAATATTCAAAAAAGTTTCATTACATGAGAAACCAAATCTATGCAAACATGTGGGGACATACTTCAGTTTCTTGGCATGACATTCCATCTCTCTTCTCCGTGCCTTTGTACAGACTGTCCCCCATGCTTGGTATGACTTTCCTCTTCACCTTTATGTCACTGAAACCCGAGTTCTTCTAATCTCAGGTCAAACACTACCTCCAACAGGAGGCTTGTTTTAAATCTTCCCAGCTGTCAATGCCTTTTGCCTACTCCAACACCCAAATTACCTTGAATTTACTTTCTAATTTTTTTATACTTACATATGTATAGGTTGGTGTCCCATCACATATATGTTGAATGTAGGATTCTTGAGGGGAAGGACAGTACCTGGAAAATAGATGCTTGTCGATCCATTCATTTGGGGAAGTGTGCTAATTGGTGGCAATGGAACAAGGCACAGATCTCTTCCCATTCTGATCAATACAATAAGAAGCACATTTTCTTTCATTTGTACATCAGATGGATGCCCTGGCTTCTTGCCATATGAATTATGGGACCAGCATAATAGTTGGCGATCCTCCAGCAGCTGCAACGATCACCTTTGATCCCATGCTGGTGTTCACTGGACGCACCTGGAAAGGATGTATTCTTGGTGGTAGGTGGCTGAAAATGAGGGGTTTTCATCCAGATAGAGAAAATTTAGTGTTTCCTATGAAACAGGCACTGTGCTAAGTGCTGAGAATACAAATACAAGTAAATAAAAAAATGACTGCTTCTAGTCTTAGGAAACTTGCAATCTAATGGGAGATGCCAACCTATGCAAGGCAGCCAGAGAAGGTGGGATGGGGAGCAAAGTCCAGAGAGTCATGAGCGGAGTCAGGAGAAATATGAAAATAGATGGCCAGGTCCTGGGCAAGAAATTTGGACTTGGATAGGGATTCATCAATCAGAGGAGGAGCCACAGTATTGGAAACATCTGAAGATGGAGGAAAAAGGTGTTGACACATAAATGTAAGGGACTGGACATCTGACGTGTCCTTTTCCAAGAGAGAAAGCCTATGATCTCACAATAATTTAACAAGCATTTCATGGCAGAGGATGGGGTGGGGGGCAATCTTTGAATAAAGATAAGACAACAAAATAAAGGGGAAATTTGAAGAAGATATCTAAAAGAAAAAAAATTAGATAACCAGGTCTTACACTGACTGTTACATCATAATGTCACCCCTAATGTAGCAAAAATCTTTATGACTAGAAGTTCTTTTTATTTGAATTTTTGTTATCTTTTTTATATTAGTTTAATTCCCAAGCGTATACTTCTATGCCCTCTTACACAGAGAGCCATTCTCTGTAACAAAAAGTAATAAAAAGAAGGGAGGAGGAGAGAGAAGTTCAGCAAAATTAACACATAACCAAGTGTACCAGTATATGCAATGTTCCTGGCAAATGGTGATGATTTTGCACTACCAAATGTACAGGATTGTAAAGACCACATGAGACAGGATATGGAGAGCACTTTGTAACTTGTCATCATAATACATTCCACAAGGCAGTAGCTGAAAAGGAAACTAGAGACAAAACCCATAAAATCATATTAGCTTTATAACAGAATCTGGTGCAGAATAAAGGATCCAGCCTGGAATCCAGATTCCCACACCTACTAGTTAAGCAACTGAGGAACGCATCTGGCTTCCCTGAGTTTTAGTTTTCTCAACTTTAACATACTTGTATTACCTCCATTACAGGGTTGTTTGAATATAACTATTTTGTGAATTATAAAGCCCTATGTAATAAATATGGGTTATTAGGCTATGGTGCCCAGACAGCATGATCAGTGCAGAATGAGGTTAGCTAGAAAAGGTTTCTTGGATAAAGTAAGATTTTGGTAAAGGACTTGATTGTCAAAAAGTATCTAAGTCCCCTCACTTTACTTTTTTCTTGTGAAAAAAGATCTTTTATATACTGCAAATATTTTATTAGATTTTCCTTTGATGCAAAAACATAAGGTCATATAAAATAAATGCTGTCATATTTAAGTCTAAAGTGAAATATACTTTAATAGTCTATGGATCCATGACTTCATCCATTTGGGTATGCAACCAGTGCGGATATTGAGCCAACCCCTCCCCACACACACCTCTTCTCATTTTGTACAGTTCTTGTCTATCTCCCTAGACAATCCACCCAATGCTCTGCTACCCATTAGAATGTAACCTCTTCATGTAAGACTGTTGTTGTTTTCCTTTGTGCCTTCCAATGCCCACCATATGGCAAGCATTTAATAAATGCTTGTTGATTGACTGACTTTTAATGCTTTATAAAGTAAAATACTGGTGCTTAATTTTTTAAGGTTGGAAAACCAGAGATGACCTCCCAAAACTAGTGTCTGACTTCATGGCAAAGAAATTTGACTTGGACCACATAATAACCCATGTTTTACCTTTTGATAAAATCAAAGATGGATTCAATCTGCTCCACAAAGGAGAAAGGTATATGTTTTTATGTTTATCACTCTCAAAAAATACAATTTGGGATAATACAAAATTTGGAAACAATCATCTTGGTTTTTTTTTTAATTTCTGACATCCACAAAATGAAAATATTATAGGATCAATACTACATTATTCCAGATGAAAGTAATGTTTTCCTTTATATTTTCATATTTTTTCAATCATCAGATCTAATAAATCCTGTTTCCTTCATAAAATGGAAGTCCATTTTGCTTATGTCACCTGAGTTCAGCGTAGCACAAAGAGGTCTAGATGTCGAGTCCATTAACTTCTGTCCAAATCCCAGTCCTGTAACTTGCTAACCATATGACCTTTGGCAACTACATTTCTCTGGTCCTCACTTTCTTTCTCTTTAAAGTGATGTGGCTGTGCTTGATACCTTCTATGGTCTCTAAGATGTGATCATGTGGGATAACCTCCTCTGTGTGTATTAACCCTTGGCATCGAATCCCCACGCTGGTAAGAAAGTGAAGGCAGAGAATGGATATGAATAGTGAATGACTTGAGTGTTACACCAAAACTGTCTCACTGGACTCTGGAAACAGGACAAGAGAACCTTTCTATACAAGATATAGCCCATGAAGCTTCTCAGACAAAGAGAAATGAATGATGGCACATGGAGTGTTGTGATAGGACAGAATTTCTTCTATTTCAATCTCAAGGTTGGGCACTGAGATAACAAAGTAGAGAAAACTGGATTGGTTTAAAAGCATATTTTCTCCACCCCATATCCTGGTGCCTATCCTTACTCAGAGCAATCTAAGAGTGCATTCTGCCATATTGCTCCCTTTCCCATCATGCATTTCTCTGGGTCCCAGTGGCATTACAGGTTACAAGAACAAAAGGTATTTGTGATCCATTGTTCAAAAAGCAATTTCCATTGATCTGGGAAGAATTGTATTTTCTTCCTGTTTTTTTTTTTTCTGAGTCCTCTCTCATCCTTCTCTAGCCTTTATATCTTTTTTATAAACTGAAGTTAGAGAATCAGATCACAAAGAGTAGACTGTACATGTCTACATGTGTGAACTGTTCTAAAACCATTCCTAAAAGTATCTTGAATATTCTAAACAACCAATTGCTACATTTGGAAAACAGTTGAATTCAGACAAACTAATTGTTTTCCAATTAACCAGTTGTGGGGGTGGAGCCAAGATGACAGAGTAGAAACAGTGACCTGCTTGAGCTGTTCCCCAAACCCCTCCAAATACCTGTTAAAAAAATGACTCTAAACCAATTAACCAGTTGTTTGACCAAATCACAGGCTCATAATAACATTACTGTATAGTTAACAGGGACCTCAGAGACCATCTAGCAGCTGGGGTGGGGAACCTGCAGCCTCGAGGCCATGTGTGGTCCTCTAGGTCCTCAAGTGTGGCCCTTTGACTGAATCCAAACTTCACAGAACAAATCTCCTTAATAAAAAGGTTTTTTCTATAAAACTTGGACTCAGTCCAAAGGCCACACCCAAAGACCTAGAAGGCCACATATGGCCTCAGGTTCCCTGCCCCTGAGCTTAACCTCTTCATTTACAACTGAGGAACCAAAGCCCAGGGAAATTAAGTGACTTGTCCAAAGTCACATGACAGTCCTGAAGTCTGTCTTCATCTGAGATTGTGCATAGATACAAATGCTACTACATTTGTTATTCAATATGGCACAGTAGACAACTAGACATGAGTTAGAGGAATGAATAAGAGAGTGACAATATGGAGTGCTATGAAAGGACCAAATCTCCTCAGTTTTGCTTTGTGATAATAACACTGGCAGAAAGAAGAGAGAAAAGCTAATGGAATTCAACAAGTCAGAGCTGATGAATATACAGAGCCCCTTTATGGGTGGTACTATTGAAACAAAAATTACAAAAAAGCTTTCCTTCTACCAACTCACTTCTTAAGTGTAGGTCAACTTTTTTAAAAAAGTTATTTATTTATTTTTAACATTTTTTTCTTTTAAAATTTTGAATTCCAGATTTGCTCCCTTCCTCCCACACCCTTTCCCACCCACTGAGAAAGTGACCAACATGATATAAATTATACATGTGAAATCAGGCATATCATATTAGCTATATCACCAAAAATAACAAAAGAAAGAAAGGAAATGAGAAAATTATACTTCAATTTACATTCAAAATTCATCAGTTCACTCTCTGGAGGTGGACAGTATTTTTTCATCGTGAGTCCTTTGGATCAGAGTAGCCAAGACTTTCACAGTTAATCATCATTACAGCATGGCTGTTACTGTGCACAATGATCTCCTGGTTTTCCTCACCTCATTTTGCAAAAGTTCATATAGGTCTTGCCATGTTTTTTTGAAACCATCCCCCTTGTCATTTTTTAGAGCACAATAGTACTCTATCACAATCATATGCCACAATTTGTTCAGCTATTCCCCAAATGATAAGCATTCTCATAATTTCCAATTTTTTGCCACAAAAAGAGTTGCTAAAAATGCTTTTGTACATATAGGTCCTTTTTCTTTTCCTTTTATCTCTTTGGGGTACAGACTTAGTAGTGGTATTGCTGGATCAAATGGTAAGCACAATTTTATAGCCCTTGGGCATGATAATCCAGATTGCTCTCCAGAATGGTTGGACAAGTTCACAACTCCACCAACAGTTTATTAGTGTACCTATTTTCCCTCTAGCATTTGTCATTTCTGATAGGTGACAGGTGGTACCTCAGAATTGTTTTAATATGCATGTCCCTAATCAATAATGATTTTGAACATTTCTTCATATAACTATAGATAGTTTTGATTTCTTCTTCTGAAAACTGCCTATTCATATCCTTTGACCTTTTATCAATTGGGGAATGGATCTTATTTTTATAAATTGGATTCAGTTCCCTATATATTTGAGAAATGAGGCCTTTATTAGAGAAGTTTGCTGTAAATTGTTTTTGATATTACTTCATTGTTTATGATACCTTTTTAGCAAAATATAGCTTCCCTGATTATCTCTTTTAATTAAGTTTGGTTTTGGTTTTGCTTTCTCAGAGATCATAATTGCTACCTCTGCCCTCTTCACTTAAACTGAAGCTTAATATACTGTTCCAGCCCATCATTTCAATTCTGTGTGTGTCTTTCTGTCCCAAGTGTGTCTCTTGTACACAGAACATTGTTGGATTCTGGTTTCCAATCCATTCTGCTATCTGCTTCCTTTCTGTGGGTTAGCTTATCTCATTGATATTCATAGTTATGATCACTAACTGCATTTCCCTTTGTCCCATTTTCCTCTGTTTATCTTTCTCTGTCTTTTTGTCCTATCTCTCCTCAAAAGTCTGTCTTGCTTCCAACTGCTTCTCCCCTAACCTACCCTCCCCCTTGTCATCCTCCCCCCATATCTCTTATTCCCTTCATCTTCTATCTGCCTATTGGGTAAAATAGATTTCTATATCAAATTCTGTGTGTGTGTAGATATATATGTGTGTAGGTATGTTCTTTCCTCTTTGAATCTATTTTGATGAGAATGAGGTTTAAACATTGTCTGCCACCACTCTATTTTCCCCGCTTCCTTATGTACCTTCTTTATGTGAGAAAGTTTGTGCCATTCTACCTCTCCCTTCCTACCACTCTCACTGCATCCCTCTTTCCCACTCTTATAATCTTTTGGGGTTTTTTTGGAGATCGTGCCAACATAATCAATCCACACTCATGCCTATGAGTCTATACAGATTCCTTCTAACTGCCTGATAATGATAAAGTTCTTAGAAGGAATTAACATGTATCATCTTCCCATACAGGAATGTAAACCATTTAACTCCATTGAGACAAGTTTAACTTTATTGAGTCTTTTATGATTACTCTACTATGTTTACCTCTTTATACTTCACGTGAGTTTTGTGTTTAAGTGTTAATTTTTCTATTCAGCTCTGGTATTTTCATCAGGAATGCTTGGCAGTCCTCTATTTTATCTGTTATTTAGTTGTTTTTCTCTCATGTCTGACTTTTTGTCACCCCATTTGGGAATTTCCTGGCAAAGATAATGAAGTGGTTCACCATTTCCCTCTCCAGCTCATTGTACAGATGAGGAAAATGAGGCAAACAGAGTTAAGTGATTTGCGCAGGGTCACATAGCCATGAAATACCTGAGGTCAGATTTGAATTCAGATCTTCCTAACTCCAGGCCTGGTGCTCTATCCACTCTGCCACCTTGTAGCCCCTGTTTCATTAAATATCCATTTTTCCCCCTGAAGGATTATATTCAGGTTTGCTAGGTAGACTATTCTTTTTTTAATTAATTAATTTATTTTTGGTTTTCAACATTCATTTCCATAAGATTTTGAGCTGCAAATTTTCCCCATATCTCCCCTCCCCCATCCAAATATTCTATTCTCTCCTCTGACCCTATCCCTCCACTAAAGTGTCTGCTTCTTATTACCCCCTCCCCCAATCTGCCCTCACTTCTACCATCCCCCTGCTCTCTTATCTCCTTCCCCCCTATTTTCCTGTAGGGTGAGATAGATTTCCATACCCAATTGAACGTGTATGTTATTCTGTCCTTAAGACAAATCTGATGAGAATAAGATTCACTCATTCCTTCTCATCTTCCCCCACTTCTCCTCCACTGTAAAAGCTTTCTCTTGTCTACTTTATGTGAGATAATTTACCCCATTCTACCTCTCCCTTTCTCCTTCTCCCAGTATAATCCTCTCTCACCCCTTAATTTAATTTTTTAGATATCATCCCTTCATCTTCAACTCACCCTGTGCCCTCTGTCTATACATATATGTGTGTATATATATATATACATACACACACACACGCATATATATACATCCATATACACATATACATAAATTTTTTTCTTCTCCAATTACCCTAATACTGAGAAAGGTCTCATGAATTACAAATATCATCTTTCCATGTAGGAATGTAAATAGTTCAACTTTAATAAATCCCTTATGATTTCTCTTTCCTGTTTACCTCTTCATGCTTCTCGAGTCTTATATGTGAAAGTCAAATTTTCTATTCAACTCTGGTCTTTTCATCAAGAATGCTTGAAAGTCCTTTATTTCACTGAATGTCCATTTTTAACCCTGACGGATTATACTCAGTTTTGCTAGGTTGATGATTCTTGCTTGTAATTCTAGTTCCTTTGACCTCTGGAATATCATAATTCCAAGCCCTCTGATCCTTTAGTGTAGAAGCTGTTAAATCTTATGTTATCCTGATTGGGTTTCCACAATACTTGAATTGTTTCTTTTTATTTTCTCCTTGACCTGGAAACTCTGGAATTTGGCTTTAATATTCCTAGGAGTTTTCCTTTGGGGATCTCTTTTAGGAGGTGATTGATGGATTCTTTTGATTTCTTTTTATCCTCTAGATCTAAATATTGGGCAATTTTTCTTGATAATTTCTTGAAATATTATGTCTAGATTCTTTTTTTATCATGACTTTCAGGTAGTCCAATAACTCTTAAATTATTTTTCCTTGATCTATTTTCCAGGTCACTTGTTCTTCTGATGAGATAGTTCACATTTTCTTCTATTTTTCATTCTTTTGACCTTGTTTTGTTCAAGTCTCATGGAGTCATTAGCTTTCACTTGCCCAATTCTAATTTTCAAGGAATTTCTGTCTTCAGTGAGCTTTTGTAACCTCTTTTTCCATTTAGCCAATTTTGTTTTTTAAGTGAATATTTTCTTCAGTATTTTTGGTGCCTTTTTTACCAAGCTGTTTATTCTCTTTTCATAATTTTCTTGCCTCACTCTCATTTCTTTCCCCAATATTTCCTCTACCACTCTTATCTTTGTCTTTAACTCTTCCAGGAATTCTTGCTAGCCTTGGGTCCAATTTGCATTTTTTTTCTTTGAGGCTTTACTTATAGCTGTTTTCACATTGTCGTCTTCTTCCGAGTTTATGTCTTGGTCTTCCTGCCCCCACAATAGTTTTTTATAGTCATTGTCTTTTTTTAAAAACAATTTTCCCAGTCTATTTCTTTACTTTGAACTTTATGTTAAATTTGGATTCTGCTCACCTGAGGGTGGGAAAGCACTGTTCCAGGCTTCATGCATTTTTTGTGCTGCTGTTTTTAGAGCTAGTTCTGGGGATCTGCAAGTTTTTGATGCTTCTAAGGTGGTGTGATCTTGGGAGAGGTGTGATCACTACTGCCCTGGTCTGTACTCTGGTCTTTACCCAGGAAGGGCCTCTGTTCCCCTGTAGCCACAAATGTTAGCACTCCTCTTGGTTCTGCAACCATAGTGACCTAATTCCATCCTAGAACTATGACCCAGAACTGGTTATGGGCAATAGAGCTGCCAATCAGCATCAGCTGTAACCAGTGCCCACAAAGAGTCCCCATAATCTCTTTCTGACTAGTTGTCTGACTCCCTTACTGTTTCTGGGCTGGGAGCTCCCGAAACTGCTGCTATTGAAGTGGTCATCTCCAAGGCCCAGAACTGGTACTCCTATCATACTCCAGGCCTTCACCTACTTTGGTGTCATAGATCTCTCCTGCAGACTTCCTAAGTTATCTTAGACTGGGAAAAAATATCTCTGATTGACCTTTTGTTGGCTCTACCATTAAAATTTGATTTGAGATGTTATTTTAAAGTTCTTCAGAAAGGAATGTTGGGCAAATTCAGTCCTAGCCTGTACTCTGCTATCTTGGATTAACTTGAGCAGTTAAGCTCCAAGAATTAGAAGACCATTGAAGAATCTGGAAATTTGAAAAGAACCTTAGTAATCATCTATTCCTGACCTTATGTTTTAATTTTTTAAATTAATCCAAATCTGCCTTTTCTCCCTCCTATCTTCCCATCCTCAAATGAAAAAGAAGAAAAATAAAGTTATTGTAATAAATATGTATAGTCAAGCAATATACATTCTTACAATGGTCTTATACCTGTGTATGTGTATATATACATGTGTTATACACACAAGCATATACGTGTTTGCATGTGTGTACATACATATTATCTACATATATACATGTGTGTAGCATGTTTCATCATGAGTACTCTGGAACTGATCACAGTTGATCACAGTTCTTAAGCTTTCAAAGTTGTTTGTTTTTATAGTATCATTGTTATTGTATAAATTGTTTCTCTGGTTCTTCTCACTTCACTCTGTGTCAGCTCATACAGATCCTCCTAGATTTCTCAAAAAACATCCTCTTCATAATTTCTTAGAGCACAATAGTGTTCCATCACTTTCGTATATCATACCTTTTTCAGTCATTCCTCAACTGTTGGGCATTCCATCAGTTTCCCATGTTTTTCCACTGCAAAAAGAACTATTTTAAATATTTTTGTACATAAGGATCCTTTTTCTCATTCTTTGATTTCTGTGCAGAAATAGGTTGCATTTAATGGCATCATGTAGGAGACAAGAATCTCTCTTTTTAAGGACAGGAGAAGAAATGCAGTCACATTATATAAATCTACTAATCTGTCTGAGCTCCTCCTCTTTGTCAAGTACTTCAGTATTAGTGTTATGCATTCTATTTTCCTGGAGAGCAAAGAATCAAAAATTCATAGATTCACATCTGGAAGGAAGCAGAGCTCATCTATTCCTAGTCTCTCACTTTAGAAACGTAAAAACTGAATCCTGCTCTTACATATAAAACACACCTCTTCTCAAGACTAGGGGAAATAGCCTTAGGCTTCACTGACCTCCAAATATCCTTTAGGTTGCTGATTGCCCCCTCCCCCATCCCCCAGGTTTTGCAAATTGATCTTTCAGATTCATCATTCATTTAATAAGCAGTAGTTCATTTGAAATGAAGCAGCAGTATTTCATTTGCTATCTCTATACACACTAAATAACAAGGTGCATAATACGTAGGCCCCAATATGGAATTATCCTTATTGGGAGATATGGAAACAAGCTATTAACAGGAACTAACATTTTCTCTTTCAGCGTTCGAACAGTCCTGACTTTTTGAACTAGGAAGTGATAGGAAGTACCTGTGGATCCATCAATAGTCTCATTCTCTGGTATTTCATTTTCATATAATAACCATAGGGCATATATGGATCTTTCATGTGGGTAAAACATGAGACAGAAATTAAACATGTTAGAAAAAATAAACACAACTTCTTAAATTAGGGATTAACATGATCGCTAACATAATTTAATTTACCTGGGAGAGTAGTAAGGTACTACTGGTAATCTTAAGATTTTTGGTGTTTCATCTAAAGAAAGTGATTTATATTGGACTAGAAATCATCAGATAAAGGTGTAAGCTCTTCTTACTTTTTACTAAAGTGGATATTTTAAGGGAAATGATAATATCCATGCATTAAATTAATGAGTGTAAAGGACAGCTCCTTATAGGATTCTAATTATCTATTTCAAATGAGGTAGGCAAGACAGATGGGATTATGTTATTGTAATACCCTAAACCAGATATTATCTGTTTTAAGTATTGACAAGGAAGGTCTTATAAAGACTTTTCAAATTATATTTCAAAATATACATACATATACGTACAAATGTTTTATATATATTTACATATCTATGACTATATACATTATATATACACTCGACAAAAAGCCTGCATCTGTCATCTTCCTTGTCTTATCCCCTTATATTTCAAAGAATATGAATACTTTGTAGTATCTCTTTCAAAAAATCAATTGAATTCATAAAGTAAAATAGTACATTTGTCATATGATACAGTTTACTTGCTTCAATTAAGAAACATGAATGTATATTTTAAAGAAAGTATATCATTCATTTACATACAACAAGTATTTATCTAGTATATTTTGTGCACCATGCCCTATATTATACACTGGGGTTACAAAGCAAAAAACAAGAATGATAATTCCTGCCTTCAAGGAGCTGACAGTATTTTCATACATTTCATATATTTTTATAATTCATTTCAAGAAGCATTGTCAAATAATTTGATGTAAATTTTAAAATAAGTGTGGAATAAGAGAAGAGAGATTATACAAAGACTGAGTACCAAAGTTTAGAAAAAATGTGCATTTTTCCTATTTTGAATTGAGTGATAAAAATATATTCTGAATCCCTTTATGAGAATTTCCAAATGAACATGCAATTCAGTTTTAATAAAGCCAATTCTGTATTGATATTCCTTTGCTGGTGTGGATATAAATTCTTCTGAATGAGAAATTATGCCTAATATTTTCTTTTTAAAATTTTCTTTATTTTATTTTTAATAATGAAATAAAACAAACATTTCTATTACACAGTAGAATAAAGAAAAAAGATGATAGCACATGAAACTGCAAAGCTTTTATGTACAACTTGTTATTCCTTTTAAATATATAATAAAGGTATTGTGTAACTTTTTTTCTTCCCTCCCCACCCCTGCCCTACAGATGGCTACCATTAGACATAAATATGCATGTGTATATAGGTACATATACATATACAAACATATTATATATGTAAAATCATTCTATATATACTTCTATGTGATAGCATCCCCCTTCATAAGTCCTTTGTAGTTAATTTTGGTATTTATGATAGTCAAAATGACTGTAATAGTCAAATGACTTACCCAAAGTTGTTTCAAAAACAATATTGCTTTTACTATATATGATGTTCTCTTGGTTCTGCTCATTTCACTCTTCATTATTTTGTGCAAGTTTTTCTAAGATCATCAAGTCATCATTTCTTATAGCACGATAGTATTCCACCACAATTTTATACCACAACTTGTTTAGCTATTCCCCAATTGACAGGCATCCTCGCGGTTTCCAGTTCTTTGTCACCACAAAGAGAGCTGCTATAAATATGTTAGAACATATAGGTTCTTTTACCTTTTCCCTAATTATCTTTGGAAACAGACCTAGTAGTGGTATTGCTGGGTCATAGGGTTATAGGCAGTTTAACAACTCCTTGAGCATAATTCCATATTGCTGTCCAAAATGGTTCCATTATTCTTAAGCCATCTTTGTACTTCATCCCTGCATCTCAAATCTTCTGTGGTAAGTTACATAACAGGAGTTATGGCAGGAGATCTTATTCTGGATTAAAAAAGAATTTGTTCACTATATTTCAACATAATTGGTTTCCTTTGGAATCCTGTGTACTTCATTTTATACATCATTCCGAGCCTGTCAAAGAGGTCGAATACTCCTGCTTCTTGTACCAGGCATATGAATTTCGATGTCCAGTCCTATGCTATCTTCTTCTTTTCCTGTTCTGAGACAGTCCTCTGGCATAAGGGAGTACCCCCTGTGAGGATTTAGGGTTTCCAGTTGACCTTTGTTTTCTACAACTGGCATACAGTGCCACATTCCCCTGGCATAGGTGTAGCTGTCAATAGATTAAGTCCTTGTTCCAGCACCCAGTTTAGACCTAAGGAAAGGCCCATGGGCCAGCCAGAGACTGGTAGAAAAACAACCTCTTAATGAGTTCAGGTGCTGAGAATAACATGTTAAGCAATAGGAGTCAAATCAATGAAAAGTTTATTGCAAGCAATGGGGAAGATGGGGGAGGGAAGAGAGGACAAGGGAACCCACCATACAGTGCAGGCATACACATCAACATAGAGAATAATTCACATAAGGCCAGCATTGTGCTGAACAGTACAGAGACACTGCTCAATTCAGCAGAAAGAGTATGCTTCAAAGTGCCCTTCTGAGGGTGCGGTTCTTATACTCTTATTCTGGATAACCCCCTTTTAGCTGGCTGAGTTTCATATCCAATCCAAGACAAAATATTGGGGGAGGGCTGTTGTTTGGGAGGAAAAAAAAACAAGCTGACAGTAGACAAAATATTATTTGGGGGACACAGCTGTACTAACCTTTGAAAAATATTATCAGTATTTTTCCGTGAATATATTCTATAACTTTACAGCCTCCCTTAAAAGGAAACTGTCATGGTGGTCTCAAGACCACCAGATCTAATCTTATAACACTTCCCCATTGCCTGGATGGCACATCTCCACTTGAAGTCTGAGTCTAGAGGATTAGGGAGGCATCCCTTCTCCCTTTTTTCCTCCATCTCCTATCTTCCTCCAGGGCTCTGGTCCAGATTATCCAAATTAGCCCAGAGCTGCTTTTAGATGGGTTAATGGAATAACACCACCTCTTGCCAGTGTGAGAACTCAGATGCCAAGAACAGGAAAATTTTTAGTCCCAACTATCTATAAAATGATGGTCTTCAACTCTTTCATGGCTCTTCAAATTCTATCATTCTCCTAAACACTGGAGCCTCCTGAGATACCCAAAGTCCAAGTTTTTGTTTAATCTAGAAATAAAGACTGAAGAGATTTTCCTCCCTTTCCCAGAAATGAAAAATTCTAAAAAAATTCTCAGTTCTAGTTGATATTTCTCCAATGGGGAACTCAATGCATTCACTTTTGTCCTGACAGTAAAATGAGAAACATAGAAACATTCTTCCATCAACCTGGTCTGGTAGGAAAATAATCAAGAATTGCATCTAGATGACTTGGGTTCAAATTCTGGCTTTGCTACTATTTGGGGGCAAATCACTTCACCATTCTGGGCCTCAGTTTCTTCATCTGTAAAATGGGTGATTAGATGGCTTGGTCCCTAAGATCCCTTCAGTGCTATATCTTTGATTCTATGACCAAGAAGTCAATGAATCTGCTGAGAAGTTTTTTTTTTTTTTTAATAAGACCTCAGATCACAAACTAAGGAGAAACCGAGTGACAACTGGAACTCTGCCTGTTCTCCTCTGACAAGCTCTACAAAACGAGCATTGATTGTCTAAAACCTGCCAATACAGAAATCTCACGTTAAATTTGGCTGCTTTTACTTTGCATACCTTCTTTGATGTACCTTTTAAAGTGTGTCACAGACCTTGAGTACATGGTGGAAGAGATATGGTTTGGCAACAGTTCCAAAGACCTGGGGGCTTTTGCTGACTTCATGGTTAATATGAGGGAACAAAATGTCACTCAAAAGACAAAAAAGTGAATTAAGTCTTGCACTACATGAGTACAAATTGCTTTTGTCTTTATATCTCCAGCACACAGCAGTCCAGTGTCTCACACATAGTAGGTACTTAATAAATTGGATTGGGAGGTGAGAGTTCCAGTGTACTCTGCACTGAACAGCCCATATCTGGACTTTATATTCAATTCTGGGCACCACATTTTAAAAGTTGGATCATATCAGAGCAGTGTAACGATGATAGTGATAGCACTTGAAGGTATCGTATGAGACTCCATTAAGAGAAATGAGCCTGAAGGAAAGAATACTGGGGGCACTACGTAATAGCTATGTTCATTAGTCATGTGGAAGGCGGATTAATTCATTCAACTTCAAATCACAAGGGAGAATAAGGAAGTCATACAGAGGCAGGTTATGGATCGATATACAAAGAATTTCCAAATGATATTCCTTGTCTAAAAATGGAATGAACTATCTCTTGAGATAGTTCCTCATTATGGAAAGTGTTAAAACAGAAACCAGATGACAAAATCTCATAGAAGAATTCAAACACTGGGAAGGGGCCTTTTGGGAAGTGGCTTGGACTATATAATCTTCATGCTTCCTTCCTGTTCAAGGATTCTATGACATCTTATTTTAGGCTAGAGCAGCCTTCCTGATTGTCAATCAGTCAATCGTCAAGTATTTATCACATGCCTACTATGTGCATTGTGCTAGGTGCTGGGGATAGAGGAGAGGAAATTAAATAGTTCCTGCCCTCAAGAAGGGTACATTCTTCCAGAGCAATCATCTCTCACAATATTCTGTACAGGCCACTACTTTCTATCTCCAATTCTTTAACAAATTCATTGTGTGACATTGAACAAAACGCTAAAACCTCTGTGAACTTCAGATTCATCATCTGCAAAATAAGAAGGCTAGTCTACGTGGTGTCTGTGAACTTATAGAATCATTGATTTGAAGCTGCAAGGGACCTTATAGTCCATCAAGTCAAATTCTCTCATTTACAGATGAAGAAACTGAGTCACAGAGGCATTAAGTGACTTGCCCAATGTCACAGAAGTCATGTGTCTAAGGTAGAATTTGAACTCAGTTCTTCCTGACTCCCAGTTCAGTTCTCTATCCCCTACATCACACTGTTTCTCTTGCTTATAAATCCAATGAGTTCCATTCTACTTATACCTAAGGCCAGCCCTTAATGGGTGAGTATGAACTACACATAGGATCACGTGAACTACTTCCCACAAACATAACTTCCCTTCAAATCCCCTCTCAGGTTACAGCAATATCTGCCTCTTGTATTCCTGTGGCGAAAAAAATGAAAGATAATTGTCACCACAATTTAAACTTCCTCAATTTGATAGTTGTGGAGACCATTATGTGGAGGAACTAAAGAAATTTAGCATGTTGGAGAGAAGACTCAGTGTGGTAGGGGAAAGGAAGGTTCATGGTAGCTTCACTCAAGAACTTGTGGAAGAAAGGTTAATTGTGTTCTGTTTGACCCCATAGAGTAGAAATTGGAAGGCTTGACAGCAGCAAAAACTTCATTAAAAACTAGAACTAACTAAAGATGGGATGGCTTGCCTCAAAAATTACAGGCTCTCCCTTCTTAAAAGTCTTCAAATGGGCACTGAATGGCCCTTTGTAGGAGGCCCTTTGTAGTGGCCATTCTTTGCTTTTATTAGTTAAATTAGTTGACCATTGAGGTCCTTTCCAATCCTAAATTTTAGGATTCTGCAAGATGTCCCCCTCTAAGCTATGCTTATTTATAGGCAAATGTTTTTGTTTGTTTTTCCTGCATTTTGTTTGTTGAATTTTCTTTTTAAGGGGAACCAATTTGATTGCTTCATCTCCCTGAGTCTGTTTCTAGGTGGAATAATATCTATCGAGTACTCTCTGAGCCTCAGGTTCCATATCTGTAAAATGGAGATAATAATAGCATCCACCTCACAGGGTTGTTAGGAGGATCAAATTTTTATTTATACACACACACACACGTATACACTCACACATATGTATACATACATACATATACACACATATATGTTAATTTGTATGTGTGTGTGTGGCTCTGCAAATCTTAAATTTCTATATTAGTAGCTATGATGAATATTAATTATCTGCAGAAAGAGGTTCACAATCTTTGCACTACTCACCTCCCTGGGATATTATGAGGAATGTGTTGCATGAACTTCAAAGTGCT